CCGCCTGAACCGCGTGCTATCGGTCAAGACATGAGGGATCCATCGAGTCGGCACTTTCCTGTGGCGAGGGCGTGGAGGGGACCGAGGACTGTGGGATGGGTGCACCCGAGTCTTGTCACAAGGCTGCGGGTGCTAACGTCCGGATCCTCTTCGACAGCGCCGAGACGGTGGAGTCTTCCACCTTTTGTGGGCTTCCCAACCTCGGCTTCTTTGAGAAAGCCGTGTCTCCTCCTTCGAAGCCTGCGAACCAGAGCTTGGCACTGATGATGGAAGTGGTGTCCCTTCCCAATGCGATGCTGATAATGTTGACGGTTCCCACTGCTCCTGTGCCGCAGCGCCATTCATTGAAGATGATCGCTCGAAAGTGCTCTTGTGGAATCGACATCATGATTAAAGTTAAAGAAGGCAACCCGGCTATATATACCTACTGCGGAGAAGTATGATCGACAGCGATAATCTATCACGTAGCAGATTCTAGGTATCAGTCAATAAGCGAAAGTTCTGGAGCTTTCAAAAAATCGGCTCAGGACTTTCTTACCATCCTAATAGAATCGTTAAAAATTGTACTACAAAGGGTATTAAATACAGAATTTGCAGTAACAAACAGCATGACGTCTCTCAGCCTTATTTTATGATGCGCCATGCCTTCGACTTTCCCTCGAAATCTTCAAAACTTTTCAGCGGCTTTTTACATACAGGTAGTGGAAATGCTGCACGTGCACGCGTAACTACTTTGCTCAGACAGAGCTCATTCCACGTTATCATAGCTATAGTGGTGTGAAACCGGATGGACCAGGGAGCAGTTTGAGGAAGGCTTTGGTCCCCGGACCGCACCTGGCGTCCGCCCTTACGGAGTTTATGTCTTACAAGGGAGGTCTTTCAGGGCAAGGTGCGCTTTTTCAAAACGGTTTTGTGCATATTGTAGGGACGCATGTAGGGAACGCAAAACCATGTTTCATTTTCGCTGAACGGTTATAGCAGTACCAAAAAGAAGCATAAGGTACTGTTAAGGGTTCGATCCCCCGTGGCGACTAAATTTTGCATTTGGGTTGGCGCCTACGGTTTGGTGCCAAATCGCGCTAAATATCAAAATCAGATGTCAAATTCATCGTCAGGACCATTTTGAAGCCAACAAGTGGCCGCCAACCTTGATTGCAAAATTTAGTCGCCGCGGGGATTGAACCATCAAGAGTATTATTCACCACTTTTTTGGTACTACTAAAACCGTTCAGCGAAAACGAAACATGGTTTTGTGGTCCATACATGCGTCCCTACAACATGTAAAACCGTTTCCAAAAAGCGCACCTTGCCCTGAAAGACCTCCCTTGGTAGGTTTTCATGAGAAAATAGGGGAAGGGCGTGGTGGCGGCAGGGTCAACCGTTACGTTGGACCGATATTGGAGCGACGTTGGACCGATGTTCACCGCTCTCCGCGCCGGCATTCACTCTCGCCACCCGCGAGCCGTCTGTGTCTCCGTGCGTACGTTCACTCTCGGCATTACTCTCGTCGTCGCGTTGGACTTTGTCCAACGGACGGTGACCCTGGTCGGGGGGGGGGGTGAGAAGGACAAAACACTTGTATTTCCAGACGGGCTCGCAAGCCATTCCGCTGATTCAGAGTTTCAAATTAAAGTTCAATTCTCGATGAGAGATGAACGCGGCGCTTCTCACTGAAGGATTGAGCAACTATGATCGACTTCAGCGTTTCAATCTTTCGAAGCCATCTACCGTAAAATTCACCTCGAAAGCAAAAATTGAATTTTTAACGTGATGGTTTAGATTCCGCTCATTCGACTCCCTCTCTCTTTACTACTTTCCACGTCATCTTTTCAGTGGGAAATGAAAACTGACCTAAACAACTTTCAACCAGGAGTTCGAATAGACGCTCTATACTGATGGCATGGATCAGCAATCCGTCAGACTATAGCTGAAAATGTAGCTATTCAATCAAATATCTTGTGACGAGCACGTTCAGTTGGAATTAGCCCATTGGGACCGAGTGATGCACATGGCGTATCACGCGTTCGCATTGTGTAAATCGTTTTTAGGGTCAATCAGCTTTTTCTACGCTCCCAAGATGTGCCTATAGGTGCATCCAGATAGCGAGATTCCTAGTACCAACGCTACAATGGGAGAGGCGGAGATTTTCCCTTGGGTGGGGGTTGCTCACGCACCCTGCTCTAAGGGAAACACTAAACAAGCTTAGTAACGAAAGATTAATGTTTACTGCAATTTCAAATGCGTTACCGCCGCAATGCTCTCTCCCACTCCGTTTCCCCCACACCACTATTCCTCCCCCATTTTGAGATAGCGCCTAAGCATTCACTCTTTCGGAATCAAGACGAAGCGTAGTGCCAAGTGAATTTCAAGATATTTTCACGGCGCCCATTCGCCATTTCATTCAGAACGGATTCAACTTTGAATCGGCTAGACAAAGGGTTGACTCAGTTCCGGATTCAGACAACGGCATTGTGTACTGTTGTTCATTGGATTTTGGCGAGCTGCCAACCATCAGAAAAGGGGGAAAAAGCATGGGAAACAACCGAACCTGTACAGTCCGTGGAGGGTTACAATATCAGCCTCATTGGCTTATTAAGGCTAAAACTGACATTAGTGTACACAAAGGGTGTCGCTGTCCTAGGGGGGAGCTAACGGGAGGTGGACGCTGTGCGCTAGGCCCCCGCTTAACCTGCCCCATTCCCTCCCACCGTGAACAAAGGCATCGACTAGGAAAAACGACATCGTTCAGTCAATGAGTAACCCTATAGACAATTTGTTTTTGTTTGTTGGCGCAAAGGTACAAAAATTGGCTAAGAGTGAGAAAGAGCGCAAAAGAAGCCATTGAAAACCCCAAACTAAGGGCCAAACTTTTGTAAGGTGAGGTGTGACAAGACGGAGATTCAGAGCGAGCAGAGAAGATAGAGAACGCGAGAGTGTACGTCTACGGGAGGGCGCAGGATAAGCGGCTCTTGCGGCCGCTGCAAACACGTCCCTCTGCTTGGGAGCATTAATGAGATCCTAGGTCCTAGAGACAATGAAAAAATAACTTACCGGTCATCAAAAAGCACTAGCAAAAATGTATCTGTACGCAAAAATGAGTGAATAATATGTATGATAGGATAACATGTAATTTCAGTTCAACAAATAACCTTTTAGTAAGACGAGTCTAATGTATCCCTCAAAGATAGCTGCACTTGAAGCCAAGCTTCGGGATAAGACCAGTGAAGTATAATAATTCCTTTGAAAGGTAGAATAGAACTGTGCTTTATGCAAACGTCGCCAACATGCCATTCGCCCGGTTAAAAAGGTGCGACAAGGGCGCTAGGGTCTCACCAATCCTCCCAAATAGAGGGACGGTTTGGAGCCGCCGCAAAAGCCGTTTACCTACGCCCTCTCGTACGGCGTGTACTCTAGCGTTCTCGATCTTCTCTGCTCTGAATCTTGTCCTTGCCAGACCTTATCTTACAAAAGTTCCGCCCTTGGGGTTCTCTGCAGGGTCAACCGTCCCCCCCCTTCCCCTCGTATGACAGCAATTTTGCAGGAAAAAGTGGGCGGAGTCGGAGTTGCGCGTCCTCCCCGACGGTGTCGACTGCGTCTCGCAAAATCAAACACTGAGAAGTACTACAGTATAGAATCGCCCCATGATATTCGCGCTCAGCCCCCTGGCATGCGAGGGTGGTGGAGGATGGTGGTAAAGGGTTAACCCTGAGAGCGGGGAGTCGTATCGAAGCCCTTTAGAAGGGTAGGGGGTCGTAAAATTTTCGAAATTGGTCCAACGTGATGGTTGATCCTGGTTCTCGACGGTTTTGTTTTGCGTCCTTTTTCACCCTCAATCCACTGTACCTCATTTTTCAATTTTTGAGCGCTGTTTCACACCGATTTTGTCCTAGAGCTCGCCACTACCACACGCTGGTATCATAACCTGGCTGCGGTCAGAGGACACATGTATAATAGAACGTGAGCAGGCTTGATTTCACTATGGGCGGGGCGAAGTTAGAACCGCAGTCTGGTTTCACTTCACTGAATCGATTGACAGCGCCAGCTCTTTTTCATCCACCCTGCTTTCTACAAAATTTTATGAAGGATCTGGTACTGCGACATGATCGACTGCGAATTCAGGTCGCGGTTCTCCTCTTTAAAATCGTCCTTGATCTACTTTGGTTTTTTTTAACTTGGACACATTCACTAATCGATCCTTTTATCAAGAACAAATTATTACACAAAATGACAACAGTACAAACGCGTGGACAGGTTTACTACGGCCCGAGCTACGAGATACCGGGAGGACCGAGAGTAACATACCTAAAACGGAAAAAAATCATATTATAAGATGTACTGCGGTATTAATTTCAAATAAATTAATGGTTTTCACTCATAGAAAATACCACTAAATCTCTTGCAATTCATGCATCAAGCACTCATCCAGATACTTCACATCTGTATGAGACTTTAGAACAAGTCCATGCATTCGACTAATGGTAGCGAAGTAAGGCCCCGTTCATAGATCGCGGTTAATGCGATTCAGCGATTATGCTGACAGGAAGACATACATATCGATTTCAAATTTGCCCATTACGCGAAAAAGCGGTTTGACGATATGGCGGTTATGTTCAAAGGAGAAAGGTGCACATTTGATCGAACTCGACACAGTCCATTAACCATTCTGTCGATGCGATATGTCGGGCGATCCTTCAGTCGATACGCATACATTCCTTTCAACACAATCGCTATATCGCCAAATCGTCAAATCGCATTAACCGTGGTCTATGAACGGGGCCTAAGAAGTATTCTTTACTACCTTGACAACTCCGAAGTTGAGATGGCGTACACAACCAATGCATGCACAGAGGAAACAAAGTGGTTACTGAAACACCAATGTGTAGTCAATGACAACTCTCAGAACAAAGAAGATTACCACTTTGAAAAAGTTGCATTGAACTGACGTACAAATGTAATTATAACACAATGTTACGGAAAGCCTTTCTCAAGTAACCTGTAAATTAAATCTTCGCACGCTTTGGTGCATTAAGCTCATCCAACTCCTCTGGAGGCGCCATACTCTTCCTCTTTCGTGATTCTTCCTCCACAGCTGGTTTCTCTTCTCCACTATCTTGTACGATCTGAACAATTATCAATCACTCAGTGATATAAATCTGGGTAAGTTTATCAGCAAAAAGTAATAGAAGAATAATCTAATCATACCTCGAACTCATCTCCTTTCATAGTCTTACATTCACTCAGAATCAATCTAAGCTCGAGTTTCTGATGGAAATCGTCACAAGTGAGCATAGCACCGTTTCCGATTGACAGCTCTTCTAGAGTTTTGGGCTCAAGATCTGAAAACCGCACAGCTGACATCCATCAACAAATTCCAACTTTGGGTTGCTCTGCTCTTTACATGGAGTGCAGAACTGGAGCTGAGCGAAACTTGTCTTTTCACTATAGATTCAAAAAAGCTAGTATGACGTAATAAATGCTCTCTATGGCTCCAAGATCAGAAAATTCCCCATGAAAAAACATTTCTTTCATCTAGCTTTGAATTTTATCCGCAATTTGTCACCCAACAACAATTGGGTACCATTTCCTAACTGTCCTAACCATTTAATCAGTCTAATCAGGCTAATAAGATCAAAATTTACATAATTCACATCGGTTTCAAAATGGGGTCCCAGAATAGTGGGCTTTATGCGGCAACGTAGCAAATCACGAGATCCGCAGTTTTTTCTTCACACTTTTATGAGATATAGCAAACAATTTTGAATGGCCTTGCCCACGCCCTTTCCGTATTACGTGTTCTTCCGTGAAGATACCGGTCACCCACATTAAAGAAGTAATCCCAATAAATTGGCTCAAAAACTCTTGAATATGCTTAACCATCCATGTTTTCTCCTCCAAAGGGAAAAAAACAATACACACATAGCCATATGAAGCTTCTCACATCACTGTATGCATGAAATAGAGAAAAAAAGAAGAAAAAGTGTAATGCTCAACATACCAGTGGTTTCGCCCTCCTCACTACTTATAATGATGCGAGATGTTGTTGCCTCCATCACATCTGGCTCAACCATATTCAATGCTCCTTTCAGCACCTGAAAAGTAG